AAAAAAAATAAAAGAAAGCAAGTAATCCCCAGCACCATTGCTGCCACTGGTGGTGCACTCAGAGTGCTTCCCAGACAAGCAAAGTGGAAAGATAAGAGAATTAAGTAAAGGATCCCACATTTTAAAGATACAACTGGTGTGTCTGGGTATAGAGATATCAAAGTTCAAAGACCCTGCACACTAACTCAAAAAAGCATTCTGCACAATACCCTAGTGAAGAAAAGAAGCCACATCTCTCCAAGTTGCCTACAGAAAACAGGATGGAGCCATTCTGCAGGTGCAGTATAGAAGCTGACAGCATGAGTAGCTCCTCCCTAACTACAGGACTGGCAAACCAATACCGCATGACATAGAGAGTGGCTAAGTGACGAGGAGAAAATCAAACGTGGAAAAAATTTACACAGGAGAATACAGGTCATAGAAACCCATCCAACTTGACTCTGGTGGTTTAAAAGGCCAGCTGGGAGAGCTGCGCCTAGCAAGGAATTCAAAAGGATGGGGGTGGGAATGATTGAGTTTAGAGATTAAACCTGAGACCAGTAATTTTTAATCCAAGCATGACAGAGGGAACTAAGGACTGACTCCTACACTGCAAAAGTGGAACCCAGGAGAGATTTCTGGGGTGGAGTCTCCCAGTGTGAACAAGTAACTGCTGGGAACTGGAGCTGAGCTGATTTAAAATCTTTGGACCAATCGACATTCAAGAAAGAACCTGGAAACTGACCAAGCTTAAACCCCACCTCCAGGAGCTCCACCAATGGGATCTTCTCTCTCACACTCCAGCAACCCCACCTTGAGGGTGAAGGAGTCATCACATTCCAGCCCACCCCACCTAACACTGCTGAGAAGGGAAACTGAGAGTTTTCTGAATTCCAATGAAACAATTCTGAAAGTTTTCATCTTTTCCCCCCTTTTTCCTTTTATCTCTTTATTTGTGAACTGAATGATTCATGGAAATATATACATATTTGTTTCTTTTTTATCATTTCTAATATTTTGGAAAGAAGTTATTTTTCATGGGACTAGGATTCTAAATAGTATACTTCAGTTTTGTTATGTACTCTTCTATTTTTATATTTATTTATTTTATTTTTACATACTTTTCTCTCACACTTATCTGTTTCCCTTTTCTTTCTCTCTTCTGCTAACAGTCAATCTCTACTGTTCTCTCTTTCAGTCCCCATTGAAGTTAACTTCAATTTTTTCTCTTCTTACTCGTAATCTACATATCCTACATTGCTTCTATTCTCTTCCTGTTCACCATTTGAAATTGTAAACCTTTTTGCAAACTTTCTGTTTTTACTGTGGGCAATAAATGATCACATCATTTCTGTTTACTGTGCCAATCAACAATGTATAGGTCATAGCAGGAACTATTTGGTTTAATGCTGTATATTGTTTACAATGGTTGTTATTATTATTATTCATTGGCTGCTAAGCTATGAAGTTTCAGGGATACTGTAAGTCCACAGGGTCAAAACTGTACTGCCTCAGATCCATACTTTTATATGGGTTGACACAGCATGAAAAAGCAAAGTAACAAATCACCCCAAACAAACCAAAATACCTCAGTAACAGAATCCATGGACAACACAGTGGAAAATATGTCAGAGAAGGAGTTTAGAATGTTCAGAGTTAAAAACTGACATGTAAGGTAAGGACAATGTAAGAAATAAAATCAGAGAGAAAATACAGAAAGTGAAAGATCACTAAAATAAAGAGATATAGATTTTGGAGGAAAATCAAGCAGAAATCCTCAAAATGAAGGAATCAATAAGCCAAATAAAAAAATTCAATGAAAATTATCACCAGCATACCAGACCACTTGGAAGACAGAGTTTTAGGCAATAAAGACAAAATATAAAATCTTGAAAGTAAAGTTAGCCATGGAGAAAAGATGTTAAGAAACCATGAAAAGAATATTCAAGAAATATGGGATTATATGAAAAGACTAAATTCAAGATTTATCAAGCTAAATGAAGGCTGAAATACAAACCAAAGCAATGTTCAATCTTTTCAATAAAATATCAGAAAATTTCCATAACCTTAAGAATGAAATGGAAATCAAATACAGGAGGGTTACAGGACTCCAAATATACAAAATTCCAACAGACCCACACAAAGGCACATTACTATGAAAATGCCTAACATAAAGAATAAGAACTTTAAAAGTTGCTAGAGAAAAACGATAGGACTCATTTAGAGGGAAACCAATCTGGATCTCAGTTGATTTCTCAACTCAGACCCCCCCAAATTAGAATGTCTTGGAATAATATATACCGAGCTCTG